GAAAGAGGGCTGAGAGAGGGAGGGAGAGAGAACCTGAAAATATCATTGAGACCTTAGGTCCAATGTGCCTGCAGCCAACTCATCTGTGGCTTTCCTGGTTACTGAAGTCACCAGATCTTCCTAAAGCTCGAGCTAGTTTGAGTTGGTTTCCTAGCACCTGCAACGAAACAGCTCTGACTCACACAGTTCATAAAGTACAAATGCTTGGCACAGAGGAAGTACCAAATCATTGGTAGCTCTTTCTACTACCATTAATAATTAAAAAATAAAATGTGAATTGAGCAACATGTAAAAATGAGTGACCTTTCCAATATTCTTTCCCATGTACTAAGAATTCTTACATTGTTCGCATTTCTGCTTGTCTCATGGTCTTTTTTCCAACAAACCTTAAAAGAAATGTATTCTCCCTCTGATAGATTTTTCCAGATTTCTTTTCAGGGGATTCCTCAGAGAAGGTTGAAGGTTGGACGAACATGTGGTTTGCCTTTTTCTTCTCTGCTTCTCTTTGGTCGATATTCTTCATTTCCCTGTGAGGAAATCATAAAGACACGTGGGGAAAAGATCACAAAGTCAGCATAATTCTTTTCTCTCCTATCTTCATAAGTAAAGAGAGGAAAATATTTGTAAATTCATTCATGTCATCTGTCAAGAGCAACTGACTGAAGCAGAGAGCTGACCACATAGCAGCAACTCGGTCACCAAGCCCTGTTATGTGCCAGAAATCACATAACACAGAGAGGAATAAGGATGGTCCCTGAACTCAAGGAACACATACTCAAATTAGGAAGACAGGTGAAGAAATCTACAGTCTGGGAGAAAGCTAAAGCATGAGCTGTGAGGGCAAGCTGAATTTAAGTTGGGGCTCTGCCACTTGCTGTGTGACCTTGGGCAAACCGGAAAGTAAATTTCCACGTCAACATTTGCTACCTTTTGTTCTTGTTATGTCCACCACTGAAAAAAAACTTCATATTTAAAATTTTATAATATATAAAATGTAAATATAAAAGTAAAGAAAGTAGTATAATTAACACCATTTACCTGTTATCTCGCTTCAATAGTTATCAACGTAAAGTCAATCTCGACTCATCTATCACTTCCCACCACAAATCAGTTATTTTAAAGCAAATAATAGACACCATGTCATTTCATCCATAAGTACTTCATTATGTATCTCTTTAAGACATGACTCTTTTTAAAAACAATATTAAAAACTATTATATCTTAAAAATAGGAATATGCCAGTAAAATGAATTCCCTAATATCATCTAAAACCCGGTCCTTATTTACATAAAAATCTGGTCTCTGTTATTGCGGGGTTTACATTCTGACCACAAGAAGGTTGAACATGCTTAAGATGTTATAGGATGAAGGCCCCCAATCAAACATTAGGATGACGTGCTACAACAGACAGATGCTGAAACAATGCCACTTCCCTAAAACCCCTTAATACCTGAGGAAGTTGTACTGCAGAACCTTTAGGTACTTATCAAAATAATTCCACTCATTCCAGTGGAGCTGGTTCAGCTGCTGAAGGAAGGCCCTCCGCTTCTTCATGTTGCTCAGGGTCAGGCTGATGATATCAGCGTAGGTCAGGCTGGACTCAGTGGCTTTCACCGTCAAGGAAAACCCACGCTGTCAGTCACTATTGACTCTTGGCATTGTTAGTGAGACGCACCTAGTGTGTAGGGAGTGAGGTGGCAGACTGGGGAAACTGATCTGTTTCTGGATGAGACGACTGAAGGCTGAGCGGGATATGACCCTTTCCGCCCTTTGCCCATGGCCCGCTTTGGAAAGAGGCTACCCTCTCCATGGGTAGGCCGTTCCCTATCTTTTAATAAAGATCTTCTCTTTTCTGCTGATGAAAGAGCTGGGAAATGCGTTTTTTAGACTGTCATTTAAAACTCTTACTCTGTTATCACAGTGGTGAACAGAAAGAGATTCCAACTTTCCTTTCAGGCCCAAGGCCTCATTCCTTATCTCATGTTTGTCGAAAAATCCTCTCTCCCTCCCCGGCCCTGTCTACCCCTTCTGGATTGGTCAGAATTTCAGCTACACTCGTCACAAGCTGCGGGAGCTCAGACAAGATATGTCACCCTCTACGTCTCCAGTTCCTTATCTATAAAATAGGGCCAGTAAGACCTACCTTGGATAATGTTAATAACAATGATAGTTGTTATTTATTTAGTACCAGCTGTATGCCATTTAATCCTGGGTTTGGTATAACTGTCCTTATTTTAGGAAGGAGGTGATAAATACATTGAGCTCAGAGGTTAAGCTGTGCGCATGAGATTTAAGGCCGGTGGGTCGCTGAGCTGGGACTCATATCCAGGGCCGTGCATCCCAAACCCAGGCTCCTTCTACTACACTACACTGTCTTTACAGAACAATGAAGGAAAGCATTTCATAACAATAAAGCACTACGAAGTATGAGTCGTTATCCTTTGCCTGTAGACATATAAATAGGTCTATGGATATGAAGTGCTACAGGGCAGGAGCTACAAGTCCTGCCTAGTTCATTATGCAAGCTCCTCCTGATGAGAAGCTATATGCAAATAGGCACCATTCGAGCACTCGTTACCTGCAAGGCACTATGCTAAGGCTTTACCGCTGTTTTGCCTGTACTCTGCAAAACAGTCCTATGAGGCAAGTACTGTTATCCCCATCTTACAGATGAAAAATGAGGCTCAGAGAGAAGCTGGAACTTGTCTAAGATCACTCGACTAGCAAGCAGTTGAGTTGGTTCATGAGTCTCGGTCTATTTGAATCTGTGTTCTGACCTCTCTGATAAACTGCTAAGACTCAGGACCAATACATGTCACACCTGTTTTCTTTGGATCTGAGCTTTTTACCAAATATTTAGGATAAACACCAAAGGGGCTAGGAATTTGCTGATGTGCCTAGGGAGGGTGTGTGTGAGGACGGTGTTGAAAGAATCATACACCTAGACACCAAAACTCCTGACCGATACATACTTCGGAGTCCACGAACACGTGGGAGGCATTACTGAGTTGCAAAGTATGTTAGAGTACCTAGTCAGCCCCTCATTCTGGTAGATGGGAGATTTTGCACATAGGAAAATTCGACTTGCCCAGGGTCCCACACAGCCAGCTCATGAGGCAGATGTGGAACTACAATGAGCAAGATTCTGACCCTTAGGCTCATATCAATGGCTACCCTTGACCGGCACCTTTAATGTGCCAGGAGCTGTGCCAGGGGTTGGGTGTCTCTCTCCCACTCTGGCAGTGGCCTGGAATAATATGTGCCCCGCCCATGGAGGAAAGGATATGGCAAGGTCTTGGTTTTCTCCCTCCTGACTATCAGCACGTCGGTGCCATGCTGCCGCAGAGTGAGGTATTTCTGAAGAAAGTGCACGATCAGAGGGCTCTTCCCATGAATGTTGAAGAGGTTTGAAGTCATCTCAGGGATTCTGCAGGCGGGGTGAGACTGAGCAGGAAAAGAGGGAAAAAAATAAAGGATATCGTCATTTTTATAGCATGCATTAAGAAATGTAAAAGTACTCATGTTCCTTGATCCAGTAACTCCAGTTTTAGGATGCTATCCTAAGGAAATTACCCCAAGGAAGGAAAAGTTTAGGCACCAAGATGTTTACTGCAGAGATTTTTACTATAACAAAAGATTAGAATAACCTAAATGTTAAAGACATTAAAATACCGACTCAAAGGAATAATATGCCATTATTAAAATGTTTATGAAGAGTTGGTTCTAAAATATCGTTTCAGATATAATAAAATAACCAAGATGCAAAATTGGGTAGAAAATATATTTTATATGAAATAAATACAATTATAGAAAATAATTTGGTTAATAAGTAGATGAGAGACTGGAAGCATAGTTACCAAAATGTTAACAATTCATTCTGCAAATATTTATTGGGTAACTGTTATGTATACACACTGTTCCAGGCGCGGGAGAGTCAGCCAAGAATAAGACGAAGTCCAGCCCTCCTGGAGGCTGCATTATAGTTGAGAGAGAGACGCAATAAACAAATCAACAAATATAAGAATAACATGATATTACAGAGTAGGTGCTTCAGATAAGAATCAAGCAGGGCAAGGGATGAAGGGCAGCATCGTCCATGGGATGGTCAAGGAGGGCTGCCCTGAGGAGGAGCAATCCTGGCAGGTCCCAAACGATGGGAGGACAATCAGTGTGGTATTCCAGGCACAGGGGACAGCACGTCCAAGAGACCCTGAGGCAGACAAGAGCTTGGTGTGGCTGGGGGACAAACACGAGGCCTGCGTGGCTCAAATGGAGAGTGAACAATGAGGCTGAAGATGGAGCGGGGACTCTGGACCATGAGAAGGAGTTAGGGTCTCTTCTCAGTGTGATGGAGACCGCTGGGAGGTTTAAATGCAGCACAACATGCTCTGACTAATTTTTTCTAAAGTCCCTTGACTGGCATGTGGAGACCTGACGGCAGTGGGTAAGAGTGGACGTGAGAACAGCAACGGTCGGGAGGCCTGTGCAGTGGTCAGGTGGCTGATGGGGCTGGGACTGGGTCGTCGGGAGAAGGGTTAATTAGAAGTGATCAAATTCGCAATACATCACGCAAGCACTGGCAGGATTTGCTGATGGACTCAATGTGGATGTGAGAAAGAGCAGAGTCAAGGATGACTCCAAAGGTTTAGCCAGTTGCTGAGCTGGGAAGACCTGGGGAGGAACAGGTTAGCGGAGTGGGAAAATCAAGGCATCTGTTGGGACGTGCTATGTGTGAGATGCTGATAGACAAACACGAGGAAACAGATCAGGAGAGAGAACAGGCTGAGGCTAAAAGTGATTTGCTTTCCTTCCTTACAGTCCTCTGCCTTTTTCTAAAAATATCAATAATGATTATGTACTACTTTTGTATTTAAAAAACAATATATTTTATTTTGAAGTAGCTGAAATTTGACCAAACAATAATTTTGTCTCATGAATAAAGGCTGCAACAGTACCTAACCATACTGTTCTTTAATACTATCTGTTTTAATTGCTTAATAGATTTCTTCAATCTTTAGCAGGATCTCTCAACCTCGGCACTTTGACGTTTGGAGGCAGATAATCCATTGTTGTGGGCGACTATCCTGTGCATTGTAGGACGCTGAGTAACATCCCTGCTACCTGATGCCAGGAATACTCCACCGTACTCCCAGCTGTGACAACCAGGAATGTCTCCAGACATGGCCAAACGTCTCCTAGGGGGCAAAATCACCTGCCCCGCTTCCCGTGGAGAAGCACTATTCTATATAGCAAGATCCCACTGGAATCACAGAAATCTGAGGTTAGCAGGGAACCTACATGTCACTTAGTCCAATGATTCCTAGAACCCCATCTCCAAATGGGGGCCAGTCTGTGTTTACTGGTCTCCAGGAAAATGAGAGAAACAAGGAAAAATATATTATAATACATCTAACATAAATTTATTCACTTTTAGGATTTTTATTCTGTGGTTATCTTTTCTACATTTATATTAATGAACTTTTCTTTTATGAAATAATGGTGATGGCAAATAACAATCATTTTAATAAAATTATTTAGTGAAAATTTTTACAAGTTTTTCAAAGTCTAGAAAAATCCAAAGTGGATCTAGGATTCACTAATCTCGTTTCTCATTTATCCGAGAGTTGTTCTCTTGGCTGCCCAGTACCCATTCTCCTTTCTTAACAGCCTCCGAGTCTCATGTGTTTGGACTCCAGGAGGCTTTAAATCAAATATCTTCCTCCCCCATGAGGGCCTCAGAAGGGGTCCACAGAGGCCTTCACAGGCTCTGCCAGCCAGCACCTTCCTCATCCACCCAATTAGAGCTAGGGTACCTGGAATAAGCTTGGTCAATGAAAACTCCTACGCCTGAGATTTTTGAATCTTGAATGGGGTGAAATATAGACTGAGAACATGTGGGGGTTCACCCATTCCAAGATGTCAGCTTGAAGAGATGGTTCAAGAGTTGCAACGGCCTTGATTCTTCTCCTGGTCCCTGGACTGACTTTTAGACTTTCCGGTGACTCAATGTTCCTCCGGTTTTTCCTCATATTGGCCCAAGACAGATTTTGTTACTTGTAAGCAAAGAATTCCAGCTGATACACATTCTTTCAATAACATCCTCAGCGGGTGACTGTCCATTTTTGCTTCCCTACTTTGTTAACAAGGAATGTGCTGCCTTCTGTAATGTCCAGTCCCTCTGGTGGTAAGCAGCTGATTTCTCCTCCCAGGTGAGAGCGACGAGAGGGGGCTTTGGGTACAGGGACTGGGCACAGGAGTGGGAAGGCCTGGCTCACAGCCATGGCATTGGGCAAAGATGGGACACTGGGCAAGAGGAGAGTTCTGGAACATCAGATTCAAGAGGCGGGGGAGGCAGAGTAGGAGCTGGAGGGAAGGGTCGGCATCAGGGACCTGCCGGAGGAATGACGGTTTGGGAGCAAAGCTGAAACGAGAAGCAGAAGATGGTCTATGGCAGAGCCAGAGGGTTTAAAATGACAACTTGGGCTCTTAGGAAGTTCTTTCTTACTCTAGATAAAAATCTGACTCTCGGTAATACCAACCCATCTTTCTCCAAAACCACGTTACATAACAGTTCTTAAAATACTCGAGGAGAGCCCTCGCATCTTCTCTAAGTCTTGCTTTTCCAACCTAAACATCTTCAGTGCCTTTGATAACTCCTGGTCCGATTTTCAGTCTGGTCCCCATCTCTAGACACATGTTGGATGGGACCATCTGAAGTGGGGCCATCTTCTTTCTTCTTCTGGGCCAACTGTATGTCTTTTTAAAAAGTTCTTCATTTTGACATTCAGATATCATTTTCTGTTATCTCTGACAGTAAAAGTCTATTTTTTTACAAAACAAATTTATGATCTTTGTGAAAAATTAATACGATGTAGAAATAAATAAAGGAAAAGATAAAAGTCTGTCTCATCTCCACTTACATGTCCTAGGAATACTGTTAACACTTTTCTGTGTATCTTTCTAAACCTTTTTATATGCACATACTGACTTTATTCCAAAAATATATTTCAAAAATAAAAATGGAATCATAATTACACTGCCGGGCTTCATTTTCCCAATTTTATTGAAGTCAGAAAAGTTAAACAACTTGCCCAAGTGACACAGCTGTGATTTGAACCCGTGTCTGTCTGTTTTTTCCACCATGCCCTGCTGCTTCTCAAAAGTTTCATGCTAAACGCTGAGGGGAAATAGGCAGCAGTAATCAGTATGGAGAAACAAAGAAGGTTCAAGGAACCTCCTGCAACACTTGCTGTACTTGGCCCAAATTCTGTGGCCTGACTCCTGTGCTAGTTGATGTCTTGGGAAAGCCCCAGAATCTCTTGCCCTGGTCGGATATTAACCGCCTCTCCTGCTACACAGGACTGAAGGTGCCATGGATATAAACTACCGCACACTGAACTTTGTGGGTTAGATTTGGGGGAGGGGAAAAGAAGAGGAGAGAACACACATAATCCAGTGCCTCCAGTGTCCTGGGGACAGTGCTGGTGGCAAAGCTCAGTGGTTAAGAGCTCATCAGGCTCAGAGTCAGACAGATCTGTGTGCAAGTCTTGACTTTAACACCTATTTGCTTTGTGAACTTAGACAAATTAGTTACTTGCTCTGAGGATTATTTTTCTCACTAATAAACTGAATAAGAGCGGAAGTAATTATCTGAGAGGTATCTGTGACAAGTAAACAAAATATACTGCATGCACAGGTTTAGTATAATGCCTGACACATAGTAAGTGTTTATTACATAATTATCATCGGTATCCCAGGTAAACCTTAAAATTATTGTCTCCGTTTCATAGAGTGGGAAACCGAGACTCAGTGCTCTCCTTCCATTACACTCAGGCTTCTGAGTCTCAACCAAGTAATTTAAATCCCTGGAAAAATCCAGACAAATTCTCACCCAACTTATGCCTCTCTCAGTCAGGAATTACTCTTAGGAGATTTCCTAGCTGTATCACCTGAGCCTACAATAAGAAATATCCTAGTTCTTACCCTGACATCTTCACAGTGCTAGCTTTTATAGCCATATCTCCCAGCTACTTTAAAATCATCTCTACTATTAAATTGCCAATCATGTGCTCACCTCCTTAGGACACATATTCTCATATGCTCTTGCTTTTGAGATCCTCTTGACTTGTTGTGTAGCTTTCCTCAAGGCCAGAGTCTGAAGATATTGCTCTGTCAATGCAATATGAGCAAAAAAAAAAAAAAAGATTATTGGAACTGGTCAGCTGTGATGAGAAAGAACATACGGCAGATCTCAGCTTCCTATTACTGTGAAAATGCCTGAGTGTGGTCAGATCACTGGGAGATAATGGAGGAAGTAGCTCAGGTAAATCCATAGAATTTCACTTGCATTTTATCCAGATATATACCTATGGCCATAGATTTGTCCATTTATTAATCTATATATAGATTCTTCTATCTATCCAATCAATAAACATTTACTAAGCATCCACTATGTACTGGGCCCATGCTAGGTGCTGAAAGTAGACTATCTTCAAGGAATTCATAGTTTAGTGAGAAAAAAACACATGCAAATAATAAGCGTAACACTAACTCAGGTGCAATGACAGAATTCTCTAGAGGTTACAGTGTGGTCACAGAATAAGGGGAGGCTAAAGGCTTTTTTTAAAAAAGCTAAGCATAATCAGAAAAGGTGTTGTCATTAAAAGAGAAAAAATATCCAACTCTTGCACAAAATTATAGTTTTCCTGTAGGAGAAAATTAACAGAGAACATCTTAAAGATGGGCAGAGAGAAACAACAGATCATCTATAAATGAATAACAATTAAAATTACTACAGCGTTTTCAACAGTAACACTAAAAGCTAGAAGACAGTGGAATAAAATCAGCAAAGCATTGAGGTAGATGGGTATCCAGCAAAACTATCCTTCAAGAACACAGATGAAATAGAGACATTAATAGAAAAACAAAAACCAAGCAAATATACCAAAAACCTTGTGATAAAGGAACTGCTAAAAACAATGTTTCTATCTGTTTTTCTCTCTCTCCCTCTCCCTCTCTCCCGCCTCTCTCTACCACACACACACACTCTATAAAATGGAGACAATAATTCCAAGGTTTACCTGAGGTACCTATGATAATTATTATAATACACTTACTATGTGTCAGGCACTATACTAAACCTGTGCATGCAGTATATTTTGTTTACCAGCACAGTCCTCTCAGATAATTACTTCTGCTATTCTTCAGTTGATTGGTGAGAAAAATGATGCTCAGAGCAGGTAACTAATTTGTCCAAATTCACAAAAAAATTAGTGATAAAGCCAAGACTTGCATGCAGATCTGTCTGACTCTGAGTCTGAGCTCTTAACCACTGAGCTTCGTCACCAGTACAGTACAGAGAACCAGGAAAGTTTGATAAATTCTCAAGAGAAAAAGGCAGTCAGCATCGTCAACTATGAAATTACTCAGATGTTGAAATCATCAGACAAAGGCTATAAAGTAGTGATTATAACAATGATGTAAGAAGTATGGGTGAACACTTGAAACAAATAAAAAAATAGAAAGGCTCAGTAGAAAAACAGAAGCTATGACAGGGGCCCAAACAGAAATTTTACAACTGAAAGATACAACCACCAAAATAAATTCACTGGAGGGGATCAATAGCAGAAATGGGGGTAAGAGAGGAAAGAGTCAATGAACTTAAAGACAGATCAAAAGAAATCATATGTGGTGTTTTCTGATATCACATGTGTGGTTTTTCCACACCAATTCTCTGAAATAAACCGGGTTTCCAATAATTCAATTCAATTCCAGACCCATCTGGAGTCAGTATCAGATCCCACAAGTTACAGGACTCAGTCTGACAAGACTATCCCGACTCTAGGCAGCAGTCTCATATGGGGTTCCCAGGCTACTCACACTTCTATCCAGCTGACTACAAATTTAGAGGTTCCCAGCACCCATCTTCAAGTTTGATGATTCACTGGAATGATTCATGGAACTCAGGAAAGTGCCATACTTACTGTTACAGATTTATGATGAAAGATATCACTCAAAACAACAAAATGGAAAAGATACATAGGGCAGGGTATGGGGCTTGGGGGATGGAACGAAGAACTTCCATGCCCTCTTCAGGCACACCACCATCTTCCCAGCACATGAGTGTGTTCAGGAACCTGTAAGTTCATCAGATCATATTATTCAAGAGTTGTTATAACTCAATCTCCAGTCTGCCCCTCCTCTCTGGAGGTTGTGGGGGTGGTAGGGCTGAAAGTTTTCACCCACTAACCATGTTTGGGCTTTCAGGTAACCCGACTGCATTCTGAAGCTACCTGGGGCCCCGAGCTGAGTCACCTTATTAGCATATACTCAGATATGGTTGAAAGATGCTTGTTATGAATAACAAAAATACCCCTATGGCTCCGGAAATTCTGAAAGATTCAGGAGCTCTGTGCCAAGAACTGAGGACAAAGACCTAATCTATGTTTTTATTATACTATACAATCTGAACAATGTAGAGACAAAAGATTGGGAAAAAATGAACAGAGAGCCTCAGGGACTTATGGGACAATAGCAACGGGTCTAACATTTGTGTCATCAAAGTCTCAGAAAGAAAGGAGCAAGTGTGCAGTACAAAAACATTTTGAAAACATGTGAAAACTTCCCAAATTTGGCAAAAGATATAAACTTACAGATTCAAGAAGATCTGCAAACCCTAAACAAGTTAAATTCAAAGAAACCCACACCCATACACATCATAATCAATCTGCTGAAAGACAAGACACAGTAAATACCCTGAGGGCAGCCAGAGAAAATGCATTACGCAAAAGGGGGACAACAGTTTTAATGACTGTGGATTTGTCCTTAGACCATTGAGGCCAGAGGGCTGTGGAATGACATTTTAAAATGCTGAGGAAAAAGAACAGTCAACTGAAAATGCTATACCCAGAAAAAATATCATTCAAGAATGAAGGTAAAATAAAGACATTCTCAGATGAAAGAAAACTAAGAAAATTCATTGCTAGCAGGTCTATTTTTAATGAAATACTAAAGGAAGGAAAATGATACCAGAGGGAGATATGAAACTTCGGGAATGAATGAAAAGTAACAGAAATTGTAAATGGCAAATATAATGTATATAGTAAATATATATGATGATATATGGTAAATATAATAGACTCTTTTCTTTCTCTGACATTCTTTAAAATATGTATGATCACTTTGGCATACAGTTTGGCAGTTTCTCAAAATGTTAAACATATGACCCAGTAATTCCGCTCCTAGGTATACATACACCTAAGAGAAATAAAAACATACGTCTACACAAAAACTTGAACATGGATATTCATAGTAGTATTATTCATAACAGCTACAAAACGGAAACAACCCGAACTGAATTAAAAAAACCAACTATATATCTAAAACATGCGGGATGCCTCAGTGTTGAGAGGGAAATGTACATAGCACTCAACATTCATATTAGAAAATAAAAGTCTCATTTTCTTCTTTGACTTATGGATCTTTATCAGTTGAATATATATGTCTATTTTGGGGACTTGAAGTCTCCCCCCAAATATTTACCTTTACTGGCATATCTCGTTTTATTTCGCTTGGCTTCATTGAGCTTCACAGATATTGCATATTTTTACCAAATCGAAGCTAAAACCCTCCACTAGCAAAAGGATCACAACTCGCTGAAGGCTCAGATGATGTTTAGCATTTTTTAGCAATAAAGTCTTTTTTTAGGTAAGGTAATACATTTTTAAAGACATAATGCCGTTGCACACTTAATAGACTATAGAATAGTGTAAATGTAGCTTTTATATGCACTGGGAAACCAAAAACTTCTTCGTGTGACTCACTTTGTTGAGATATTCGCTCTATTGCAGTGGTCAGGAACTGAACCTGCAATGTCTCCGAGGTCCGTCTGTATTTGGAACCCTGGTTATACTTCTCAACAAGTGGTCTCCGAATATTTTTTTAATAACAGCTTTATTGTAATATGATTTACATACTAACTTTTCTGAGCCTCCAATTCTCCAACAAAGAAAAGGATAGTTTAATTTTTTCGACTAATGATGACACCTAAGAGTTCCTGTTCTGTTTTCTCAGGTTCTATATTTGTCTGTATGGCATCCATTAATTACAGGGCCAAACTAACGGCCAAAGTGGATACAGCTCCCCTGTGATCAGAGCTCATACTGTGAACCACCTCCTTTATCTAATTTCCACACACAAAGCTAACATTTCCCCTGACGTAAATCAACCCAGGGCCAGATGTCAGACATCTAGGAACAGCTCCTATATCCCGAAGCCAGCCAGAATTACTCAAACTAGCCGATCCTAAGCTGTTAACCATGTCATGTCTTGTCTTTCCCAAGGAAATCTCAATAAAGGCTGTGGCCTAATCCTTCCTCTGGCGCCTTTCTGTCTCCTGACTGACACTGGTGCTTCCTCCCATGGTCCTGCATGGCAAGTCATGCCTCTTGATTCTAGGAGAACTGTGAATAGCAAACTTTTCTTTCAATGGCATTGACCTCTCCAGGTATTCACTCAGTCACCTTTATAAGTTAACACCCAGGCACAAATCAGTTCCTACCTCAATAAATGCTTGTTTCTGATGGGGAGAGGGGCAGTGATCAGGTCTTAAATTTATTTTCTTCCATTGCCTACAACCTCTCTTTCCCACAGATATTAGCACTGTGTGAACTCATCATTATAAAAGTAGAACTTAATCATTGCTTGTGGAACTGAAAAGACAATTATGCCCTCTCAAGAAATTACTTGGTGACAAAGCCCAGGCTAGAAGCACGAGTATAAACTAGGGTGGCAGATTATGTTCAAACAAACCCAGGAAACGAGGGTTTTGGAGAAAATAACTGAGTCAAAAGCCTACATTTCCGTTTTAGGTAGTTACTGTACCTTTCATGATATTCTGTATTTGTGACCTATCCTCTGACTTCTTAGATAAGGAGCCTCTCTCGTTTGAATATATACTTGTAGACTGAGGGAGAAAAAAACAAAGAACAACTTAGTAAAACTGGTAATGAGAGAAATACGAAAAGCATACGTGCTATTTCCTAGACACTTCTGATCCTTCTTGTAGAGGGAGAGCTTGCAGGCCCAGCTTGCCAACCCAGGGGCACGGTGGAGAGAAGAGGCTGATGTAGAAAACACGTGGGCTGCAGACGGAGGCAGACCAGGGCTCCAGTCCCAGCCCTGTCACTCAACGGCTGGTGATCTTAGGCAAGTCATCAAACCTCTGGATTGCCTTGGATTCCTCATAGGGTTCTTGTGAGGATTAAGTCAGCTAAGGCATGCAAAGTGCGTGAGTGGCTGCTCACGGTAGGGGCTCCATGAATACTGCCGCCACTGTTTACACACTCACCACATCTCTTTCAGTAAACATCTCACTGAGCAGCTTCTAATGTGTCTGGCACTGGGCAGATCCTGAAACCTGGTCCTTGCCCAGAGGAGCTCCCAGTCCAGCAGGGGAGATAATGGTAAATGGACAATTACACTAAGGTGAGAAAAGTATCACATATTTATTAGAGAGGCAATATAAGTTAGGATTAGGTCTGTATGTGAGTGACAGAGACTCAGAATAACAGTGGCTCAACCTAGGTAGAAATTTCTCTCTCCTATAACAGTCTGAAGGTAGACAATCCAGAACTTATATGGTATTTCTGCTGTGATAAGTCCTTAGGGATTCCAACTTCTTCCAGCTCATGATTCTACCTTTCCTAAGACCCTTGCTCTTAAGGTCCAAGATGGTAGCTAGAGCTTGAGTGACAGAGACTCGGAATAACAGTGGCTCAACCTAGGTAGAAATTTCTCTCTCCTATAACAGTCTGAAGGTAGACAATCCAGAACTTATATGGTATTTCTGCTGTGATAAGTCCTTAGGGATTCCAACTTCTTCCAGCTCATGATTCTACCTTTCCTAAGACACTTGCTCTTAAGGTCCAAGATGGTAGCCAGTCATCACATTCGCATTCCAGGCAGCAGAACGGAAAAAAGGACAAAGAGGCAAAGACTTCACATGGACTGTTTCCTTAAGGAAGGCTCCCAGAAACTGTCACATAGCACATCCACTTATATCTCATTAACAGGATCTTAGTCACATGGCCACACATTGATATAGGGGAGGCCAGGAAATGTAGTCCTTGATCTGGCCATAAAAATTGGAGGTTCTCTTTCTATAGAAGAAGAAACAACAGATATTGCAAAACAACTAATAGTAGGCCAGAAGCAGAGTATCATAGAAGACAGAGTGGGGAATGTTTGATTCTGTCTGCTGGAGAGCTGGAGGGCTTCCAAGGAGAGAAGACACTTTTGTTGTTTTTAAGGATGAGCAGGAGTTTAACAATATTAAACAGATGACCCACCAAGTAGCAGGCAAGCAGTCCGCCACCTCAACAACCAGCACTTTGCTTTTATATCAATATGATATTTGAATAGGAAAAAGCAAGCAGAAAGGACTTCCCATACACCGTGCAGCTGGCTGTCCAACAGCTATGATGTTTGTAGAGTTTAAGTGGTTACTGGGATTTGTTAGAGAGAAACCATTCCCAGACTCAATGAAGCCCCACGCTCATTCTTAATAGGCTTCAGAGAGCTCTGTAGTAGAGCGGAGAATACGTGCAAGGAGACTGGCTTGGTGTAAATTATCAGGCCCTCCTATTGGAGAGGCAGCTTGCTGATGCAGAAAGAGCTCAGACTGACAGCCTCCTGCGTCAGCTGAAGTCAGCTGCGTGGCCTGGGGCAAGTTATTCACCTCTTGGGTCTGTTTCTTCCTTTGTCAAATAAAGTTAATCCTCACCTGCCTTGTAGAAATGTTGTAAAGAGTAGAGAGGATGTGAAAAGACAACCTGCACATGGTAACATCTCCAAAGTTCTTGTCTGTCTATCCTCGTGTGACCAGCAACCACCCCGAGTGTACGAGGCAGGGTGACCACCACTGGGATGGGGGTAGACTAAGACTGCTCCGGGGCCCCCTTCCCATCATGGTATGGGAGAGATAGAATCCTTCTACCCCACATGGACACCCTCCTGCTCAGAGTCCACATGCCGAGGGCTCAGCTATGATGGGTCAGAGCAGCAGGGGAGCCTGTTTTGGGGCCAGCAAACTTCTCCACCAAGAGCCCGAGTGAGTGCATTTGGCTTTGCAGGCCATAAAGTCTCTGTCGCAGTTACCTGATTCTGCGGCTGCAGCGCAGAGATTGCCGAAGACAACGGAGAACCAGTGGCTGTGGCTGTGAGCCAATAAAGCTCTATTTACAAAAACAGGCAGGGAAAGGCCTCATTCGTAGTTTGTCTGGACATTTATTTTTATTGAGCTTTCGGGAAAAAAACAGAACCTGATTGGTAGTGTTTGGCTTGTTTCGTGCCACTGATAAGAGGAGATGCTGGCAATGATGATGGCACTGGTGGAGGGCCAAGGGGCGGGCACAGAGGCCAGACAGGTGCAGGGTATGCTGTGTCTAAGGAACAGAAAGAAGGCCCCTGCAGCAGGAGCCCCAAGAGCCTGGGAGGGTAGAGATGGCACTGGCCAGACATAGCAGGGCCACCCAGGTCAGTCCACCCCAAAGCAAGAGGAAGCTTCTGAGGTTTTGAAGATGTTTTTCACTTGGGCTGAGAGGATGGTGTTAGGGGTACAGGAGAGTAGAAAAGGGCCAGGCGGTAATGGGATGCAGTAATTAGTCTGCATTTTGGAAAAAGAGTGCAGGGTACCAGAGAGCCTGAAGGAGACAGGAGCTTACGGCCACAGTGAAGGGAGCTCAGACTGGAGTGGAAGGGAGAAGAGGGTGCTGCCGGCAAGTAGGCAGGAGGCAATGGGAACAAGGCAGAGAGGGGCAAGTAGGTGTTGCGGGGGACAGCCAGGTTCAGGCTTGTGATGAGGATCAAAGGGGAGAAAAAGATGTAAAAAAGCACCTAGCAGTGCAGCCTCTACTGAAATAAATATTGGTTCTCCTCCCTCCTCACAGCCACTGCATTTCTGTGGCCACCCCTTAGTGCTCCACTCATCCATGTAGATGAGGACAACCAGGGCGCCCCCAGAGATGAAGGGGCAGGGAGCGCAGAGTGTGGGATCGATCAAAAGTCACCGACGCTTACAGGGCCCCAAGGGGTCCAAGGTTTGTGCCTCCCCACTCACCGGACGGTCGGGGACTTGTCTGACCTGGAGAGACTTCTGGAAAGAGTCGCTCTTAGAAAGGCGGACGGGTATCTCTCTTTCTAGGGAAGAGAAAATGTTGTTTGTCAGTTCCTTGTTGTCCTGGGAGTGACTGCAGACCAGGAGCTTTGAGACAGCCCCTGCCCTGCAGGGATCAGTAAGAGCAAGAGGAACACCTACTGAGTGACCTTGGGCAAGTTATTTAACCTCTCTGGTCCTGTTACAAATAGTGAATACTAACTACCTCATAGGCTGATGACTCAATTAAAGGAAGCGATGTGTGCAGAGCCTAAAACACAGGATGAGCACCCAAACGTATGAAAAAAAAGAGTACTGACTTCAAAAGTAAAATAAAACTCAGAACCTGGCGAAATTGAAATAAATAAATGTTGGATTAAATGCTGAAAAAACAAGCTATCAACCTCGTAAAGTGTTAAATTTAGTATTCACTGAAACGTCACGATTTACAGATTAGATTTTTTTCATTTGAAATTCCTGTGTATCCATGGTGACCGCTAGGAAAGCAAACCTATTAAGTGGGTCAGTAACTGTAAATGCATAGAAAAGCAGCACATGGAAGTGCTTGGCTCTGAGGTTGTTCTAACTTTCTTTTGCTGCAGCCACACCCTTCTCTAAGGCTGTTAGATGTTCTCTTCCCTGTGCCCTGGACTAGGGCTTCTCAAACTGGAATGTGCTTCGAGATTACCAGGGCATCTTAGTAAACTGCAGAGTCTGATTTAATCCATCTGGAGAGATGCTGATGCTGATGCTGCTGCTCCTTGGATCACACTTTGAGTAGAAAGTTTGCCACAACACAGGAAGTGGGGCAGCCTGCCTCCCCCCATCCAGGAAACCAACCAGAACCACCTTGCCCTCCTTCCCCACCTATCCTCTCTGCTCCTTTCTGCTGGTACCTCAGGATGCTGCTGTCTGTTTAAATGAAGGTGGCTCTCCCACCATCAACCTTGCTAGCTCCTCCCACACACTTCTCTCTGATAGGCTGAGGCTTTCGGAATGAGCCACGCTTCTGCATCGCTTCTTCTGAAATCTGGGTCTTGCCTCCTACCATCCGATGGAAACAGCTGTCCCAAAGTTCACTAATGAAGAGGAATTGTCACTCAAAAGGCTAACCTTATAATCAGCTTTTTGTTCTGCTTCCGTAGATGTGCTTGCCGCATAGGCTGTAGGGCAAGGTGACCTCGAAATTAACTAAAGACTCATCCTCCCTTTTGCTTGTTCTGTCTAAATAACAAATGTAACTGCCAACGCATAGCAACTCCCACACTCTGTAACCATCTGAGAACCAATCGGCCCATGCCAACTAAGGCCTATAAAAGCAAGGTTGCCCCTGAGCTCAGGGCCCAGATCTTCAGAGCGCTACCTTTTCTGGGACCATGGGACCACTGGCATAATAAACCTGAGTTCTCCAACTCTCCGAGTGGTGCCCGGTTTCTCGCGGGGTCTGATTTTTGCAACATTTCTGTAACACTAACAGGGGTTTCTTCTGGGGGTGATGAGAATGCTTTGGAATTAGATAGTGGTGATAGCTGTACAATTTTCTGAATATACTAATCACTGAATTACACACTTTCAAAGGGTAAATTTTATGTTATGTGAATTATATTTCAATAAAGCTGATATACAGATAAAGATCACAAACAACCTAAATATACGATTGCATGGCTCCTTCCTAGGCCTCATCCTGTGGCCCCTCTGCAGCAGCTGGCACCACTGACCCTCCCTCTGCACAGCCCGCTCTAGCCTCCACGGCCCCATTCTCTCTGGGCACCTCCTGCCTCTGTGGACCCTTTCTTCTGCCTCCTGCATGCAGGAGGCCTCCGAGGCTCTGACCTCAGCCTCCTTCTCTTCTCCCTTCTTTAATATTCTCATCTAGGAAAAACATCAAGGAGCATATCTGCTTTCAGAAATTTGCAGTTGAGAGTCCCGGCCTTAATCCTCCCTTAATCTCATCACCAATGGCACCTTGGACATGCCCACTGGGCTGTCCCATCGTCTCATTTCTGTCACATCTAAGGTCAAACATATGGCCTTTCTCCACAGACCTGATCCTCCCCTTGACTTCCTAGTTCTAAATGGAATATCTGCAAATGCTGGCTGCTGGATGCTTAGAACTGCTTTGAATCTGGAATACACCCAGCCCTAGTCTCTTCCTGGCCTGACCTAAAGTGCTTGAAGGGTCCCTGGATTTCCACGAGGTTCCATCTTCTTTATGGCCTCATATCCATCTTCTGTGCAAAAAAGTGTTAACATAGCACTCCTCATTGCTGTCCTTGAAGAGTTCTGCTTGCAAGGTTGGCCCTTAGCTGGCATCTGGGAACGTATATTTTGGGACAGTCCCCACCACTAACTGTGCTTTAATGGCTTACTGTGCCTAAACCATTTGTATAAACACTATAGTTTATGTTGAATACCTGATATATGTGCCAGGCAGGGAGAGTCTACATGATCAGCTCCCAGTCGGAGGCACTGGGCACTGAGTCTCTAACGAGCTTGCCTGGTGGGCAACATTTCACATGTGTTGGCACGACTCCATGCTGGAAGATTAAGCACATCCTGTGTGTGACCCCTTGGGAGCTTGCACCTGGTGTTCCTGGACTTTGCCCCCTGCACCTTTTCCCATTGCAGATTGTGGACTGCATGGTTTTACTCTAATAAATCACAGCCGTGAGACTCTTAGGGAATCACCACACCTGAGTGTGGTCTTGGGGACAATTCCCCTACCCTTGCTTATGCTGCCCCACAACTGCAGGCTCCTAGCCTTCAGAAAGAAGGTCTTAGTGGGCACCTTGCCCCAGCTCCTACCCAACCTGGAACCTTGCAGGCAACATGCGAGCAGCTCTGCCAGGGCCCCTCCAGGGGCAAGAAGCTCACCATCGTGTGAGACAGCACTGCCTGTGGGTGCCTCCTTCCTGCCCAGTGCCCTTACTTTCCCTAAGGACATTAGACTAAGGTAGGAGAATGGTTAACTGGACAGAGGCCAAAGACTGGCAAAAGTGCCAGGTTGGTTAGCCTGTCTGGGCAAAATCCTGGCTCCCCAACTGTGCTGGGAAACCTTGGGCACACGAACCTCTCTGTATCTCAGATTGCTGCTATATGATGGAAATAATAGGATCTCACTGAAGGCACACATGAGACAGAAGCTGGCCTGAGGATTTCAACACCAAGGACTTTCCGTGCCCCAATTAGACGGTGGCTGGGTGTGGCCAGGACAGAGGGGCAGAAGTCCATAAGCGATGCCTTACTGTTTATCAATGTTTTTCTCTGACACAGTTTTTCTCTCCGAAATCTCTCCGGATCCAGTTTCGAGTAGTCCCAACTGTTATAGCTCTGTGGGCAAGGATGGATACCTAGGACAGAGTCAAGAGGAAGAATGAAAACTTCTGCAAAGGAGAATGGGAGGGAGAGAGCACAGGAAGCCGGCATGTGAACACCTCCAAACTCTGCTTGTCTGTTCACTCATGATCTGGCTGCGTAGCCTTACTACATCGCTGTAAGAAATCTTAGCCACGAATACAACTTATGAGCTCTCCTAGCAAATCTAACGTGGCAGTGATCTTGGAGACCCCAGCACAGCAGGAGCTGTAAAAAGTCCTTAGCACAGTACCTAGTACCCAGGAACCTCTCAATAAATAGTAGTTTTCAATGTCTGGGTTGAGATGGGGAAAGTGGGGGAGGAGACAGAAAAGTGGTTGAAAAGCAGACATTGAACTGATGCTGTGTGCTGCAGGGGGACTACAGTTGGGCCACTTGGCGTCACACGGGGTGTGGAAGGTAGGATGACATAACCAGCATACTGCTTTTGAGTCACTGAGTTCTGGATCCATCATCCCACAGCACAAGGTTAACTTCTGGACAGCAAATGGGGCTATGTTCAGATCTGCTCCCTACAGATGCAGCTGGGCACAGAAAAGGGACAAAGAATGTCTGAGAATGGTTTTAAGGAAGCAGGACAATTGGCGCTCTTTGGGTGTCTACCTGCACACTTTAATGTCAAAGAGAGAAGAGTCCAGCTGTCTCAACGAAGGGGTGCGAGGGGAAACAATCATATACCTGGGCTCAGGTGAAAAATGCGTTTCTGGAACCGCTTTCCCCAGGAGAGAACAGTGTCGCTTACCTGAAATCCACAGGCTCATCGTGTTACAGATGTTAGACTTGAATTCGTGCGTGTTGAACCAGGACTGCGGGAAGCAGCAACAGAAGCTGGTGTACAGGGCTTTGCTCAGAAGTGATGGCAATCTCTGGGGGGGAGGGGCAAGCAGTGTTCAGGCAATATTCTGGGCACTTCTACACCCAGAAGAGAGCCCCTGACCTCAGAAAGGAACTATGATAAAATTCTCTACCTGACACCCTGTGGCCTTCCTGTTTATTAGGGGAACAATTTCCATCTGCAGCTGTTCCACAGGTGGGTGGACTCCTTATGCTACCTGGGGACCACTCCTCAAACATCATGCTACGCTAGGTCAGCAACCCCTCCCCCAGACCCTCTGCACATGGTCTGTGGCTCAGCCCCTTCTGCAACTTGGTCAAACAGTAGTCCAGAAGGTGACAAGATACATTTGACCTACCTATCTTTCTGTCTCTCAGAGAGAATACTAGTAAGTACTACTTACTCGGTTTTTTTTTATCCACAGGTATTGCTATTGTTTCTTAACTACGGTGGAGCTCAAATTATACACTTATATCTGGCTTTATGCCATTATAACATCATGCCAGATTTAACATTATAACATAAGCACTTCGCCCGGTTGCTATAAACTCTTTGGGAATTCTTTTTTCCAAGCGACCTTCATAATATTGTGCTGAGTGGGCATATCAAAATTTAGTAAACATCCCCTGTTGGTGGGTGTTACCCTGTTTCCAAGACTTTGCATTACAAATTATGCTGAATAACTGTTTTTATTTATTAAGCTATTTCATTGTCTGGCACATAGTAGGCAGTCAAAATTGTTGAATGAATGAATGCATGAATAAAAGCAGCTTTTCCTGTGAGATTATGTCTTCCAGAAGACGGTATACTACTGCTAATCACAGCAGCTATGGTATATTGGGGGTTTATCATGTGTTGGGCACTATGTCAAAAGCCTTGCAAACATCTCATGGAATCCCTAGGACAACTTGGTGAGAGAAGCATTATTATCCCCATTTTATGGGTGATAAAACTAAGGTTATGTTAAGCGGTCACATAACCACCTTTCAGCATAATTTTATCAATTCACTTCCTACTCATACTGTCTGAGTGCCGTTTCCCTATATCCTTAACAACATTGGGAATTATACTTTTTAAATCTAAGCTAACAGGGGTATTGAATTATTATTGTTTTAATTCATAGTTTTGATTGTTATTAGGATGAACTTTTTTCCTGTTTGTATTTCTACCCCTGGTGAATTTCTAGTTTATGTACTTTGTCCATTGGTCTATGGGGTGTTTTATTTTTTCTTATTGATTTGTTAGGAGTTATTTATGTTATGTGACATATATGGTATTGGTATTTTTGCACAGTTTCTCATTTGCTTTTTAACTTTATAGTAATCTTTAACATTTTTATATAATTAAGTTGATCAGTCTTTTCCTTTATGGTTATTTGGGATCATATTTAAAAAGTCCTCCCCTACTCCCAAATCATGTAAATATTCACTTATATTTCCCTCTAGCAATCTTTTCAGAACATATATCCATACATTCATATATAAAAAGTAAATATGTATATTCATACTTTTAATTTTTAAATAATGTTTATTTAAATACTACAGAAATATATAAAATAGAAAGAAAGTCTCTTATAACCTTATTCTCCAGAATATAAACATTGCTAAGAGTTTGGTAAATATTTTTTCAGATTTCTTTTCTATTCATAGGCAAACACACATACACATATACATTTTTAACAGAATTGTATAAATTACCTTATTTTTCACGTAAAATATATTACATCTTTCCCAAACAGTATGTATGGATCTACCTCATTTTTCATTATAAGTCAGTGTACAGATATATCACAACTTACTAATTACTCCCTATGGAAAGAATGTTGAGGGCATTCCATTGGCATTAGAAGTGAATAGCTATCTCATGTGATTTATTTTTCTAAACAGTGGTTAATACTCACTTTTAAGATAGCCTCTTCATGGTAGGACCTGGATTCATGAAACAAAAGAAAGGCATAGTGGAGGGATATCCGGTCGAACAGCTTATTCTGGATCTCCTTGTTTGGCTACCAGGAATAAACATGGACAAGGAATTACTAGAGTCCCATGTTGAAACAGCCAAGGGCAGAGATTCTTAACTGAGCATTTATCTCATTTTTAGGAATCTTATTCTCAAGATACTGAGCCTCATTATCATTTAGGAAATAATACAGCAGTTTGTTTCCTAGGATTCATAAGACATGCGCATAGAGGGAGGGTGTTGAAGAAAGCACCCTAATTCTGAACCAGGAGGTCCTGACTTTACTCTTGGCCCTGCCTTTGACCAGCCATTTTACACAGACCAGTCCCTAAAGCCCAGGGGAGCTGCAGGACATTGGGTAATGGCTAAAGCACAGGGTATATGGGCGAGACTTGGGAGAGGGAAGGATGAGGTGATGAATGAGGCTACAGGTGTGGTCGGTGGAATCGAAGGGGCTTATAGCCCATATTAAAGAGGATTTGTGCCATAGTAAAATAATTTAAGCAAGGGAGAGGAGCGATCAGATTTGCATTTACCTGGTACCTTTCGTGGAAGATCCACCAGAAGCTATCCAGCCATATGGCTGTCAGAGAAGGAGAGCAGAAAAACTTCTCTAACTCTCTATCTGTACAGAAAGACTTGAAAAGAAACAAAATTCACATTATTATTGTTGCTGTTATTGTTCTTCTTTTAAAAATTCACCTGGAGCCACAGATGCATAATCATCTCCACTCAGAAACTTCTCTTCCTCCTTTGCATCCCATACCTTGTTACTGCTATTAATCACACCATCTTTCTACTCGTCGTCTTCTGAGTCAACATACTTTAGAGTCAACTCAAAAAAAAAAAAACAAAAAACACCTAACCTTTTAGTGAGTGCTGACTATTTACCTTGCCAGGTGTTTTTACACGTTCCCCCTTTAACCCCTGTAATAATCATGCAAGGGATGCATCATTATCTCTGTTTTACAAATGAGGAAACCAAGGACTAGAGAGCTGAAGTCACTTGCCCAAAATAATACAGCCAGCAAGTGGCAGAGCCAGGATCAGAACCCATAACTCTAGATGGGTGCTCTATGCTCTCACCTATATTCAATTCATAGTCATCAATATCAACACACACAATATTAGACAAATGCAAATCACTGGACCATAAGAGTCTGCTGAGTTGGTAGTAAGCACCTGGAATACTAAAATTAGAATGGAACTATCAGTGAACTCCGGGGGCAGAAAATTCGGCCTTCATTGTCAGGCAACTGGGTCTTGAAACTTGTGCTGACTCCAAAGCTACTACCATAATAACGTAAATTGAAGGCTTACCACATATCTGGCACTGGCCTATGCACATTCATCCTTTATCTCACTTTATTTTTTCACAGTCTATGTGGTAGGTGTTTAGTTATCCCCAGCTTATGCAAGAGGAAAGTGAGGACTGAGAGGTTAAGATTCTTGCCATGCCTTATACAGCCCAGGAGGTCTGAACGCAGGCGGTCTGGCCCCAGAGACACCACACGCGCTGCCTCTCCTCTGACCCTTAGAAGAGCAAAGAGAACGCACTCTCTCCACCTTCTGGGACGCAAAGGGGAAGACTCCTCAGTGCTCCCTTCAAGCCTACCTGGGAAGCCGAGGGAATCGTGCATTAAGCAAGCCTCCCTCTAGCAAGCTCTCTGAGCCTGGCTCTTGGTTCTGTCTTTGTCACCGTTCCTCACATTTCCTTAGAGAGGCAGTAGAGCGCAGCGGTGAAGAGCACAGACTTTGGTACCGGATGGCCAGGATTCAAATCCAGCTCTTACGCTTAGACCTTGAGCAACGTTATTGAACTTGTGTGTTCTCCGTTGCCTCATCCAGAAAATAGAGATGATGATGATGATGAAGATGATGATGATGATGATGATGATGATGATGATGATGATAGTCCCTAGCACAGACGGCTGTGAGGATTAAATGAGTGAGCGATACTTCCGAAGCACGGAAAACAGTGCCAGGCACTTGGAAACAGTTGCTAAGAGTGTGCTAGTTTCTTATTGTTTGTTTATTCAGATTCCTACTTCCTCTCAAAAAGATTTCATTTCAGGCCTTCAGCAGATACTGGGACAAACACGATACAGTGTGATAGGTCCCCGGGGAGAAGGAACCGCAGGGGGTGTGGAGCCCAGAAGGGCATCTGTGCCGGGGGAGCTGGGAAAGGTTTTACCAGCACGTACGACTGGATGAAGGGAGAGCGGAGAGCTCCGCAGACAGGGAGAGAAGCACGGCCCATGCTGTGAAACCGCACCGCACATTTGGGGAACTCCTGGGGCTTCTGTGCAGTGGCGAGAGGCCTGCAGGAGCCAGACCATGAGGTACCCAGGTCCTGGGGCTGAGAGCCGTTCTGAAACAGGACGAGGAAGGGTGGCTGCTGGCACCAATGAATTTTCAACAGGGCAGGAAAACAAGAGATTGATGTTCTAGAAACGTCCCTGGAGGCCGTGTAGAAGACGTATTAGAGGGGATTGAAATGGCAAGGCAGACGATGCACAGGGCAGCAGGTGCCGTGATCCAGATGGGAAGCTGTGGACGTGACTGTGGCACTGGGAAGGAGGAAGAGTCACAGTAAAGGCGGTAGTTAAGTCAGAGGCTGCTCGGTTGCGGGGCGAGGGTAAGGGACGAGACTGTGTGACTCTGAGGTGGAAGGCTGTGGTTGTCAACAAGATAGGGAACCGGCACGGGGTGGGGGTGGGAGGATCTGAGGGGAATCAGGGCAGGAGGCAGAGGGACATGTGAGTCGGAGCACAGCAGTCTGGCGGTAGCTTGGACACAGTTCTCAAGTGGTGATTAGCCTCCTGTGGGGAGGTTACCAAGGTCTACCAGCCCCCTACGAGTCTGTGCAGAGGGAGGGGTCCTGGAGAACATGGATGGTGAAGGGGCCTGGAAGACCAAGATGGTGCTGCCCGAGGAGAGGGAGAATGCTACCACAGAAAAGAATTTCCACGTGCAGGGAGCTGTCCTCTAGGTCAATTGTACGGAGACCCAGAGGTGACCTTAGATGACCTCTAAGATGACAACACAAACACATCCTTCGGACTTGGCGATATGAAAGCTATTGGTGGGTAGACTTGGGCCACTTTCAGTAATGGGGGAAGGGTGGGAAACCAGACTGTAGTAGCATGAAAAGAAAATGGAGGTGAGAACTGAAACCAGCAAGTGTGGGCAGCCCTTCCGAGAAATCCCAGGTGGGGTTCACTGCTGAGTCGGTGCCCTGCTGCTCACACAGGGCTTCTGTCCTCATGGGGCTCATGGCCTAGCAATGGCCTCTACAATCTCTTAAGCAGAGGCAGTCAGCTGCTGAAAGAGAGTGGGAGGTGATGGAGGAGAGGATTTAAGAAGGCAAGTGAATGTGTGGGGTGGCCCCTGAGCAGGATGCAAGAGGGTCCTTTTAAAGGCAAGGTACGAATTTTCCTTGAATTTCCTGGGAGCCAAAGAAAAGCAGGAAACAGCATCAGTTACAAGGCTAAAAAGAATTCCAGGAGATGCAGTTTTTCTTGGGATTAAGGCCTAAGGAAACATACCCCATGGGACCTCAATAATGGAACATGAAGTAATACAGTAGTCACTGTCCTTGGGGCTACCCACACAGCAAATGGAACATGACCAAATGTGGCTGGACGGTCACACAAACACAGTGGATCCACGAAACACGCAATCCATTTGTTCTCGTCTTTCTTCCTTTTTAAAATATAGAAAAAGGAAGAAGAAAAAACTATAACCTTATCACTCAGAGAACACCTGTGATATCCATGTATGGTTTTACCCCAGATTTTCCTGTGTGCTTATATCACACTGTATTGATTTTTTTTTTTTTACTACTCTATTCCCTATGCTGTACTTTACAATCCTGTGACTATTTTGTAACTATCAATTTGTACTTCTTAATCCCTTCACCATTTTCACCCAACCCCCCCCAAATCTCCTCCCATGTGGCAACCATCAAAATATTCTCTGTATCTATGGGTTTATTTCTGTTTTGTTTGTTCATTTATTTAGTTCTTTAGATTCCACATATAAGCGAGATCATATGGTATTTGTCTTTGTCTGACTTAGTTCACTTAGCATAATATCCTTTAGGTTCATCCATGTTGTCCCAAATGGTAAGATTTCATTCTTTTTTATGGCCAGGTAATATTCTATTGTATATATGTTACCACTTCTTTATCCAGTCATCTGTTGATGGGCACTTATGTTGCTTCCATATCTTGGCTATTGTAAAAAGCGCAAACAGAGGGGTGAACAGAGGGGTGCATATGTCTTTTTCAGTTTCTTCAGATAAATACCCAGAAGTGGAAGTTCTAGGTCATAAGGTGGTTCCACTTTTAATTTTTTGAGAAACCTCCAAATTGTTCGCCATAGTGGCTGTACCAACTGGCAATCCCACCAACGGTGCATGAGGGTTCCCTTTTCTCCACATCCTTGCCAACACTTGTTCTTTTGATTTATTGATGATGGCCATTCTGACAAGCGTGTAGTGATATCTCTCATTATGGTTTCAATTTGCATTTTTCTGATGATTAGTGATGTTAGCATCTTTTCGTATGTCTATTGGCCATCTGTATGTCCTCTACTTTACTGAATTCATTTACCAGTTCTAATAGCTTTTTGGTGGAATCTTTAGGGTTCTCTACATAGTATGTCATCCGCAAATAATGAGTTTTACGTCTTCCTTTCCAATCTGGATGCCTTTTATTTCTTTTTCTTGCCTAATTGCTGTGGCTAGGACTTCTAACACTATGTAGAATAAAAGTGGTGAAAGTGGACATCCTTGTCTTGTTCCTTGTAGAGTTTTTCATATACTGATATTTTTCATTTAACAACACAGCATAGAATGTTAAAATACACTCTGTATAAAATATTCATTTCAATGGCTAAGTAGTCCATGATAGATATACCCCAAATGACTGCTATTCTTCCATTATCGATGATTAAACTGTTTCTAATAACACTGATAATAAAAACTACCATTTTTTTGAGAACTTATGACTCACTCAGCACTATGCTAAGTGCTTTTATACACCTATCTTATTTAATTTTACAATAATTCTTAAAGGCAGAGACTGTTGTTGTCCCTCTTTTGCAGTAGAAGAAACCAGAGCCCAGAGAGGTACTTAACCACCAAGATGTACTGCCTTCCAGTTCCTTGCTGTCATAAATGACAATGTGGTGAACATCTTTTTGCACTGTCCTTGAGAAAATGTGATGCTCTGGGTGCCCGCTGCTCCTCCCTGTCTGCATTGAGGAAAGCAGGAGATCAGGTCCCCTACCCCAGCGTAACCACTGCCTGGCCCAGAGACCAGTGCCTGGTGAAAGGCAGATATCCACTTGTTGATGGCAGTCCATGCTGGAGCCTGACACCGGAACTTCAGCAAATACCGTTGTCATACTTGGCAGTGACTGGCCCAAACAGATCATCACTCTTAGGAAGTCTGAATGCAAGACACAGAGAAATGAGACAGATAGAACTGGAGACCCAGCCAGAGAGAAGGCAGCAGGGAGAAATCATGAAGAAGAGAGGAGAGAAGGAAGGAAGGAAGGAGAGAGGAAGATGGGGAAAGAATAAAAGGGAGAGAGAGAAATAGAGAATGGGGGGTGTGGGGAGGAGGGGCAGCCTGTAGTTTGAAGCAAGCAGCAGTGAGAAGTACAGGTAGAAGAGATTGAGGAGCCAGGTCCCAGGCATGTTGAGGTGACCAGTCAGGAGCTGACAGGACAATGACCAGTGTTGCTTTGGGGACACTGGAGTTGCTGTGCAATCATGAAGCGTGATGAGGCACAGCTGCAGGGCTGCTAAGACCATTTTCTATGCATCCTCCCCTCCCCATACCTCCTCACAGCGTTGTGGCCAGCGCTGTATCACATAAGCACACAAGTTCTTCTGGGCCCTTCCTTCCTTCCTAAGGAACCCAGTGTGTACTGCTCTCCAAGCAGGTAACTCACCCCAAGGGGTACCATGCGCCATAGGAAAAAAATATTGTAACTAATGTCTTATTAAGAAAAAAATAGAAATTAAGTTTATCAATATACAATATAGCGATCGACAACAGAACACGTATATCATTCATAAAAAAAATACGTCATAAGGACTTGTACTCAAAATGTTTTGTTAATAGGATTCATGATCAAAACAGTCTGGAGACCAGTGCTCTGGTGTAAAGAATCTAGGTTTCAGAGAAGACATGGGCTTGGGATCTAATCTCAGCTCGGTCACTTGCAAACTGTGTGGCCCTCAGTGGCTTACTCAATTGCCCTGAGTCTCGGTTTCCTGGGATGTAAAGCTGCGTCCATTGCGTGGGTGGCTGTAGAGTACAGCTGGGCCCACAGCTGGACCTCACAGAGGTGAGCTGCCCATCCCTTTCTTACCTTACCGGTAAGGGGGCTTCTCTCAGACTGCACCACATTGTCAACCATGTCACAGAAGTCCACCCCATTGGGAAGCTCGTTTGGCCTGGAGCTGTTAAACGGTGGGTGCTGGTACAGCTCTGCCAGCAGATTCTTATCTGCTGTTTTCTAAAGCAAAAAAGCAGAATATGAAAATGGGGCCCATCACTCTGACAGTTTAAGACAACAGGATAGCTTCTCCTTTTTATCATGAAGACAATTATAACGACCTTACAGAAGGCGGAAAAAAATGAGGGTGCGTTCATGACCCCAATGCCCCTTGCCAAACATCTGCTTACATGGTTCCTATTTTCTCTTTCAGGCTTTGAGTACATGTATGCAAATATATGTACCTTCAATCATTTTATAATACATTTACACACACACACTTATGTCCTGCTCTATCCACTTAACTTTAGATTTTTCACATTGCTACACTGTCTTCAAATTTATCATTTAAAATAACATGTCCTGTTAAGAAGATGTGCTATAATTTAGTCAACTACACACTGTTACTTCCAATTAATATTACTGTCACATGATAATAAAGTTAATAATAATAACTTGGAACATAGTTTCCCCCCTCCTTGGCTTATTTATTTAGTATGACTTTCTCAATACAGAAATATTAGATCAAAGAATACGACTATCCTCATGGTTCTTAATATATATTAAGTGGATTTCTGAATAAAAATAAAATATGACTATAATAAAATGTAAAAATGCAGGAAAGTAGAAAGAGGAAACCAATTACCATCACCCAAAGGCACCTACTGGAAACATTTTGAGGAACTGAATTTCTCCCTAATTGGACTATCGAGTTGACAATGGAAGAATTCAGTGATTAACTGCACTGACTGAGTCAGACAACCTGTGGTCAGATGTCAGCATCACCCTGTACTAGCTGTGCCACCTTGGGCAAGACATTTAAATCTGTTTGGCCACCATCATGGGTCATATGACGGTTTCGGTGCAAACTCTCAACCACTGGGCTTTATGTTGTGTAGGAATTTCCCAGGCTAAAAGGTGAAAAAAAGATAGCGATACCATTCTGGTTCATAATCTCCAGCACTGAAAGGTTTGTATACATATGACCTGGGTGGTTTAAAGAGCAAACTTAGGAGGATCTTAACTGGGGCGGCTGCTGGAGAGGCAGCAGCGAGCACCTGGCCATGGGGCTGAGGATCTGAGCAGGAAGTGGGGCTCTGCCATCAACAAGCTGCACGATGCCGCAGGTCACCTGACTACCCCTGAACCTCAGCTTCCCAGGGCATCTGCAGTGATCGCCATAACTGGCACTGCTGTGTCCACGGCCCCTCTGAGCGACTGTGTGTGACCGGATCTGAACTCATTGTTTCTAAGTTCTGAAAATAAACAGATGGCCTCTGGAACACTCTTCATTCTACCCTTTCTAGGGTGTTATAAGAAATTCTACCATTATTCAAATACCTTAAGATCTTCTAAAAAGGGAATTCAAATACCTTAAGATCTTCTAAAAAGGGAATTCTGCAATTTTCCTGCATAATCACCATCCAGATGCAAAGTATCTGTCCCACCCAACCCCCCAGGAATAAAATTGATTTCATGCCCAGCAGAAAACAGTCACAAACAGACCCAGGAATAGATCACTTACCCTTTTAACAACGGAAGATTTGACATTCCTGGATTCTGGGTCACCGCAAATGTACTGTAATTTTCTTTGACTTTTGTCTGCAGAAGAATGGAAGAGAAACAGGATGTGAGGAACCGCGGGTCTGTCCACTGCTGTGATTTTTCATTCGACCTGAGCTGCCTGACGACACACGTTATTAGTCTCACTAGATCCCGCTCCTGTTGCTGACTTATCTGGAGTCCCCTCCTTATCTGATTAGACTGCTTGAGCCAGAGAAGCAGCCAGGAGGAGTAGACCAAACATAGGCTTTGAAATCAAGCTGGGACAAATCCAGGACCTGCCACAGACAAGCTGTGTGACTTACGGGAAATTACTCCCTTCCCTCAAGCCTGTTCCTCTTCTATGAAATATATTCAGTGGCACCGACCACACAGGTAGGAGGCCCTTGGAAGATCTAACAGGGGACTACGTATGGAAGCACCTGGTGCAACATGGCACGTAGCAGGTAGTCTCTAAATGGTATTGTCCTTCCCTCCTTCCTTGCCCGATGTCAAGAAGTCAGATTTAAGGCTCCTTCAGAAGAGGAGAAAAATATCCTCCATCCAAAACTCTGGATTCCTACTCAATGCATTTTAGATATGAAAAAACCAACCCCCACAAAAACACCATCTAAGGCTGTGAAAAAGGATTTTTGCCTCTGTCTCCTGAGCCGCCACGACTTTTCTCTCTTAAAGACTTCTTCTCCAACTCAAATTTCTCAATTGCCTTCAAAAACCAAAAAGAAATGGGGCATTAGGAATCGATGCAAACCTTGGCGGAGGGTGGGGGTCAGGGACAGGGCCGCTTCTCCTGTTGGTGTGTAAAAGGCACGGAGCAAAGTTTGGGACAGCGCCTTACTGTCTTCCCCTAGGCAGGAGGGCCTTGGTGGCAGGCAGAGTCACTGACTCATTTCCCTGTCGCCACCAACACATCTCCCCAGCCCGCTCTCTCACACTGCCCCTCCTCCTGGCAACATCTCCCCCGGGCCTGCACCTCTGAGGACAGCATTTGGAACGGTTCCAATCACGGCTCCACCGGTTACAAGCTTCTGTTCAATCTCTCTGTAAAAGGGGGATAATAATACCTACCGTCCAAGGTTCTTATAAGGTCAGATATAAAGTTATTTAATGCATCTTAAAACACAGGCACAGAGGCTACCTGATGGAGCTGCTCAATAAAGGGTAACTGTTGTTACTATTCATCATTATACTTTTGACCTCTTGAGGGATTTCCCTTGATCTCTGACTCCTCCCCTAGGAGCATTCAAGGTACATAGTCCCACACCCTGCTCTTTCCACTTTTAGTTTCTAAAGAACTTCCAGGGAAGTCTGATGATTGGTTAGGCTTAGGTATCATTCCTCTAGGTGGAAACATGACCCTGAAATACAGGTGAGAAGCTAGAATCTGTGAACGTATTGTTCATTCACAAATATTTCCTGAGCATCTACTACAAGCTGAACACTGTGCTGATGTCGAGGATGCAGCAATGAGCAGTGACGCCGCTGTCCCTGCCCTCCTAGGGCTCATAGATTAGTGGGGAGAAGCCGGTGATCATGGCGTGAATGGTGCTGCCCTGGAGAGAGACAGGATGCCAGGAGTGTGCCCTGGAGGGGCACCTACGCTAATCTTGGGGTGGAAGGTGCAGAGAAGGCCTTTCCAGAGGTAGCGACCCACAGGCAGAGAGAGGAAGGCAAGAGCCTACTGCTGGAGTGAATGGTGAAGCTGTGAGAGTGGGCGAATGAGCTGTCAAGGGAAGGAGACTGGAAAAAAGAGATAAGCAAGGTTCATGGCCAGAAACTGGAAGGAGACCCACACTCAGGGTATGGGAGACGGGACAGAAACAGGACCTGGCTGTGTGGACTGTGGGGAAGAGGCTCTGGGACTCAGTAGGAGACGGCTCACGTGTGCGTTAGTTCTCATGTATTAAGCACTTATTTTGCACTGTGCTAGATGCCTGCACTGTGCTAGATGCTCTCCAGGAGGGCAGGACGGAGGCTAGAGAAACCAGTCTGGCTATAGGTGCTGACTCAGAAGAAATGGGCACCCAGTCGAGGCCTGGTATATAAAGGGCAAACTGCGGCCGACAGAGGTTGGGAAGGATAGCCCAGTGATGGGCTCTGGTGGCAGCAGGCAGTCAGCATCTGACAGACCTGACCAGCTGCCTGGGCAGAGGAGCAAGGACAGGCGAGGGGTCCCTTCCTTCATGTCATCTGAAGACCAAGAGGGTTCCTGCCGGCCCCATCCTGGTTCTGACTGGCAATTTGAGGGAGCTATGCCAATGCTGGGCAGTCTTGAAAAGCCACCAGATCCTGCTTCTGGGAGGATCATGGCATTCTTTTTCTTGGCTTTAAAATTGTCATTAAAAAATCACAGGGGTGACATATAAATACATTCTTGTTGTAAAATACCCAAACATTACAGAAGTATGTGGAGTAAAAGCGTTTACCCACTTTCTATCCCATCCCCTTCCCAGAACTGACTCCATCTGGGGTGTACTTCCAGATT